GTGTAAAATACCAGAATTCATATGATGCTGCTACAGCTGATATATGTTGTCTAAATACCTTTTAGTACATATGTTGTTAAAATAAAATGAACAGTCCAATGATCATTTTACTGATATGTATAAAGACTGCAAAGGTTGAAAAATCTTGAAGTCTGTATGAAATTGGAGGTAGTTTGAGGATTAAATTTTTTATGCTTTTTAAGCTCGGGGGAGGGGGGGGCTGTCGTATTATACATGAGATCATATTATACACGAATAAATATGGTCCATATAAAGAAGACTGAGAGAGTCCAGTAACTGACCTTGCTTCCACAGTTTGCAGTCAGCAGCTGATCGTCGACGCGCAGAAGTTTGCAGGCGTTGGCGACGTTGATGGCRGTCTCCTGTTTGTCTCCAGTCAGGACCCAAACTTTGATCCCCGCCCTCTGAAGGGCCTCGATGGTCTCCGGGACGTCCTCCTGCAGCCGGTCTACGATCCCCGTACAGCCTGAACACACAGAGAGGGACAGAGCGAAGCTTTACGAGCCGTTTCTCTGATGGAGGCATGGCTTTGCGTCGGATCTTGGTACCCAGCAGGTTCAGGTTGGTCTCCAGCCTCTGAGCCGACTCCAGCAGTAACTCCTCCCTGTTCTCGATGCTGCTCTCCGCCAGCAGCTGCCTCTTCAACCACACCTCGTACTCCTCCTCCTCTAGAACCTGATCCAGACAGGAAGCAGGTTCCCACTGAGTCTCATCAGAACAGTGTTTATAAGTTAACCTCCGAAGCAATAAAATTAAAAGTTTAGAATTCTTTCTGAAGGTAAACATACATAAGTTCACTGATTAATGCTTAGTCTCCCCTTTTTAATAGAATTTAACTTTTGTTTAACCAGGCAGATTTGTTGCAGTGATTACTTTTGGAAGAGTTTGCACTTAAATCTGTCCACTGGTTCATGAGATATTGTGCTAACTGTACAAACAACAAACAAACAAACATAATCAGCATCATCTTTCTGCAGTTTCCATGATGCGRAAATCTGCTGCAGAGCAGAAGATTTTTATTCTGTTCAGATAAAAAAAAAACATCCATAAATTTATAAAAACTAGTGCTAGGCATAGATTAAAATTTTTAATCGCGATTAA